ATTTCACGACTAATGTATGAAATATATGTTATTTGGGCAATTAAACTTAAGGATAAATTCTGAGCAATGATAGAAGAATAAGTTATATCGTACTTTTTTATTATGAACGCATAAGTACATATATATATGAACGTGGTATGTTTACTTATAGATATGTTTACTTATAGATCTATAATAATGATAATGTCCTTCACTGGTTTTGTTGGAAACTGGAATGTTCCATGTCTTGGTCACTACTATGTCAAAGATCTTTACAACTAAAAGGTTCCAAAAGAAAAAGAAAAAGAAAAAGATGAAAGTAGAGTGGAAAACTCAGATTTTGAGATTATTTTAAACAAGGGTTATGTCACTGTGTTACGATCTAGTCAATTAGCATCAACATTATATGATAAATTAAAATTGTGTGAAAATTTTATGGATGCTTAGGTGTAAGAAGTTGATTGAGCTATGCGAGGCTAATTCTATGTTACCTAGGTATTTCTGTCGGGCAGCCTTACCCGTATCCGACATGTACCCATACCCGTACTTGTATTGAATTTTCTTGAACACTTCTTGAATATATGCATATGTTTATTCGGATATATACTCAATTATATAATACATATTTTAATTTAAAACACTCATACATTTCTTGGATATATATCGTACACATCTATTTTTTATACATTGATCTTATGTGAATGAAAAAAACAATATTATATTAATGTAAATTATTAATTTTAATATATATATATATATATATTATATATATATATATATATATATATATATATATATAATATATATATATATATTATATATATATATATAAGAAATATGGATAACATTGGTACCAAGTTTCTCCATTGAACTTGGTAGTGAGGTGGCCAAATCAAGACCCTACATCATGCCTCGGAGAGAAGAGCCTCAATTACTATTCACCTACTTTAGAGAAAGGCTCCATCTCCGAGGCATGATGTAAGGGCTCTCTCTCTCTCTATATATATATATATATATATATATATATATTCATGTCCTCGTATCCTTCCTTTTTTAAATTTGCTGTGTCATGTACCCTAACTAGTAGCTGTATTCATACCCATGCAATTTAGGGTTTATTTATGCGATTATTTTCACCTTCTAGACTTATAAGATTACTGCGCAATATGACCTTCAACTCTCTCCATAATGCAAGGAAAGATTGGTGCAACCGTGAGATTGCTCCTTAGTTACCTGGACATCATGGGTTTGAGTCGCTAAAAAAGCTTTCTGACAGGGTAAGGCTGCTTCTATCTGACCTCTAGACTTCTAATGATAAGAAACCTCATACATTTGCTTGTCAGTACCACAATGTATTATTATTTTGATATCCTTGGTTTTACCTTGGACTATAGCCTTATGTGAACCCGGGAGCGTCAAACCTGCCATGCACCTATACTGTTCAATGACATGTTTCACCATCACAGAATATCCCTCTAGTGAAAACAAATAAGACAATACATGTACAAGCAGATATAAAAGAGATGAAGACAATAAATAGAACACAGAAATATTTGATAAATCTCCAAATAATTAGATCTCAACAGATATAAAAGAAAATATGTCTAACAATCTGAAATAAATGATCCAAAATCTCAACTGTAAGAGTTAACTGAAAAGTACATAAGCTCTCTCAGCTCTCAAAATGTAATACAAATCTAAACATCAACTAGAAATATAAACTAAACATCTATGGAGCAGAACTACTAAACATATATAATGACGACTATGCTGAAAATCCGTCAACCTGCGGCTCTCCGAAACTCTGCTCCGCTGCCTGAAAAGAAGTGAAAATCACAGCGTCAGAGCGTTAGCAAGATCATCTCCATCCGACCCCAGGGAAAGGGCTACTAGGTATGATGAAGGCTCTACCTATAAGTACATAGTCTACCTAGTTCATTTACCCTGTACTAAACTGGAGTTAATACTTAGAAACTCACAACACGAGACTAGTACGTCGAGCGAAATAATCCAAATAATAAAACCCTCATGTATATATCATATGTTTCAAATTGTGAATCGCTAAATATTAACTCCAAAACTAAGAATAAATGAATACAAGAAAGATAATACAGGAAATACCATATCGTACATCTCCAAAAATATCATATCAACTCCTCAAACTATCCTTAGTGGGTAAAACTAATATCAATATACTATATCGTGTAACTAAGTTGTGAAATACTTTCACAATGGATCATATCGATGTTGTCAATATTTACCTACACTTAGGTTATTTATCAAATCGTCCTTCTCTGGAACTCTTCAACCCATCGCTCTCTCGTGCGGATTGATAAAATAGATATGTCAAATCATCGCACTTCTGTGCGAACCAATAACTAGATATACAAGTTCATCGAATTCCCGTCTGGACCGATAACTAAGTATGTCAATTCATCGCACTCTCGTGCGGATCAGTAACCAAGTATAATAACTCATCGCATAACCATGTGGACCAATAGTTAGGTATATCAACCTCTGCGTATCTTCATGCGGACCGATAGATAGGTATTTCAATCTCTGCGCATCTTCATGCGAACCGATAGATAGGTATTTCAACCTTTGTGCATCTCTATGCGGACCGATAAAGAAATGTAGTCCATCTGCGGTGTCATTGTAGGACCCGACTAAAGCACTCAGAGTATAGTCCATCCACAGTCTCATTGCGGGACCCGGCTAAACCCCACCTAACCGATCATAATTATTATATTATAATAATAGTTGTTACTCTTAATAATTGTAATCTATTTGGATACCCCAAACAATATAATCATGCGTACTCAATCCCCGTATGTGTACTCCTCGAACTATGTGTGAATATCAGCTCACGTCTTGCACAAAAATGCTCACCAAACGAACTCACAAGCAAAATGTTTAATCTCACAAAAACCGACCTGATCAGTCGACCGACAACCTCATCGATCGACTGATAGGGTCGTTCACAAAACAACATGACAAACACGAGCCCGTCAGTCGACTGAAGTTGCCATCAATCGACTAATGACAGCATTTTATAGGGCTATACCTGAATTTGCAAAGTGGAGAGATGCTTCTTTCTAAGATTTCATGTGATCAGCACAGGTCATGGTAACTTGACAGACATTTTTAATAAATTTTGTTTCACCCCGCCGTGCCATATGGCTTTATAAACTGTGTGGTAAAAGCAGAGTAACTCAAGTTGTATTTAGCAAACTAGGAATGATAAGGGGAGAAGAGTGGGACTACAACCATGAGTTAGTATTGCACCACATGCCATGGTGGTGGATATCAAAACGGCTAGGACGATTAACATCCAAAAGGTGCTTGGATTCGTTTTGATCAAAGATGATGTGTATACTCTTGTTTCAGCCCTTTTCTTAGAAAGACCTCATTCCTTTACTTATCAATTTCCTTTTCCCTGACAATATATTACCTGGATGTTCTCTTTCTCATGCTATTGGATTTTAACCCAGGTTTTTCGAAGCACCAACAGATTCCCATGCATTCTGCTTGTGCTGATTGGATCCAATAAAAGCCTATCAATACTGGCAATTAGTTGATAACAACTAATTAAAGTATAAAATTGGGTGAAAATGGTTGATAAGAAGTAAAACAAACTTCTCTAACTTTTCTAATATAACTAAACTTTCATGACCTGTTAATGCGAAAGGATCTTAAAATATATTGGATTTCTCTGGATCACACATTTCTCCATTCAGGAATTGCGTCATGTATAATTTGTGTCTCGAATCCACCTCCAACATGCTGTGGTCGATGTTTCCTTTCTTCTTGTTTTTCTCCCTTTTTTTATCTAAGGAGGTATTTGTAGTGGCTTTTGCTTTGTAATTCTAAACTGAAGCATGCTGGCAGGCAAACACTGGCCTCACTTTGTTTCCTTTCCACCATCTTATCTTGTTTTCTGAAATCTAGAAAATATTTTCTGTAATAGCTATAACGGGACAATCCTCACCAACCTAATAAAATTGTAAATCAGATTTAGAATGTAATATCTAGCAAAAACTATGCAATAAGTATTAGATTTAGAATGTAATAAAATATTTTCTGTAATAGCTATAACAGGACAATCCTCACCAACCTAATAAAATTGTAAATCAGATTTAGAATGTAATATCTAGCAAAATCTATGCAATAAGTATTTGAGCTAATAACCAAATTTTGTAGAACTCATGCTAGTCAGTTGCTTATGCCTTTTGTATTATCCTCTCATATTTTGATCAAAGGAGATCTCTTCGGGCATTTTATACCCACTTTGAACGTGACCAGAATCCCTATTGCTGACACACTTTCTAAGTGCAAACAGGTAAATGCAACTGTTTTTCTGCTAGAACAGTTTCATATGTCAAATATTTAAGCACCTAATAGATTATGAAAAATATACAGGACAAGTATTATGCTACCTCGACAATACAGGGTCTTCAAGGAAGAGGTTAGGTGTTAGGGCTTTCTTTCTCACAGTCGTTGGACTGCCTTGGTTTTCATATTAAGCATCTCAATATACTAAAATACATGTTAATATCTGTCCAACAAGAAGAATCCTGCATGTTGGGCAGGTGGGCTACCCATACTCTAACACCACAAACTCTTAATTATTATGTTCAAATTCAAACAACTCCTTAGATTTCCATGTTATGGTCCTATGATTTTAAATCTGTTGTTTTGTAAGTCTTTTTTCGCCTCCATTTCAAGCTAGTCTTACCCCTTAGAAGTTTTCAACTGTGTTGAGAATTGCCTTGAGTTTACCTATTCTTAATCATGTTTGAAAGGCACTCTTTATCTGCCAGTACAATGTGTATGCTAAATGACCGTGAAATGAAGTTTATGTTGGTTGCTTCAGCTTCTTAATCACATGACTTGTACTTCTTATGGCTTACCTTAGACTTGCACTAAGATTCAGTACTTATTTTCTTCAAGAATGTAGTACCTCCTATTTCTTTTATGCTGGTGCTTATTATGAAAACTAATTTACAGAATTGGTCTTGCAGAGAGTACCAAGAATGCTTCCTTCCATTTATGATGACAATAATTACGATGCTGGTGCATTGGCTCCTGAGGGACTTAGATGCAGCCCGAGGCATCATGCTTTAAGCGAACTACCTAATTCAGGCTGTTACTCTGAATCATCCGTGATCGCAGGTGGTGACAAGGGCAATGGGACTGCAGGGAAGGAGGCCTGTTCTATTAAGAGGAATCTGAGAAGTGATATCTTGGATGAATTGGATGAAATTATGGAACGCTTGTCTGAAAATGAATATAAGAAGGAGGTGGCTATGAATCGTATAGCCGAAGTGCCACTTTGGACTGACAAGTCTGCTTCAACTACCTTTAATGCTGATGAGCAGAAATGGTTGGGGGAACCAATATGGCCTCCTGAAGGTCGAGCACATTGTTCATTTAAACAGGACTCTATTGGAAAAGGGAGGAAAGATAGCTGCAACTGTGGGTATCCAGGTTCTGTGGAATGTGTACGATTTCATGTGGCAGAGAAAAGGGTCCAGTTGAAATGCGAGCTCGGTTCTGCTTTCAAGAATTGGGGGTTCAATTGCATGGGTGAGGAAGTTGCACTCTCATGGACAGACGAAGAAGCAGAAAAATTCAAGTCTATAATGCATCTGAACCCTCTATCGGATAATTTATGGGCCGACCTAAATCGGGCCTTTCCTTTAAAGGGTAAAAAGAGCCTAGTGAGCTACTACTTCAATGTGTTTACTCTTGCTCGCAGATGCTACCAGAACAGGATGACCCCAGATGGCATTGACAGCGATGCTGAGGATGCAGAGTTTGGCTTCTTAAGTATTCCTTTCGGACAGGATGCAATCAAGGTTTATGAGCCCAAGACTAATTTTTGTGCTCAAAATGGTCAATGTTTGGATATTGAGGACTAAAAGTTATAGAAACTGTTGTCTTCATGGAAGGCTTTTTTGCGTGAAGATCCTCATTGTTATTCAACTGGTGCAATTTACTGATGTAAAAAGCTTGAAGACATGCAATCAAAATGGAGTTTTCCAGTACAGTAGCAGCATGGTAGGGCCATCACAAGTAAATTTTTTTCTTCTTCCACTATCATATATCGTTTCTGATTCTTCCTCATCTTGTTTCAAACGACTTGCATCATATCCTAGAATACTGAATGCTACTCATCGCCCAGTGGAGAGATCAGGCAATTCTATAGTTTTACCATATTGAAATGAAAACATAGAAGACTGGTAAAAGGCTAAAATACATCTTCATTCTGTTAATTATTATCATTGCCATTTTTGTTCATGTGATTTCCATTGTAATGCCATAGGTATGACTGACTAACAAGAGTCAACAGTTTTGCTAGTTCATTAATGAGGGTTTTTGCATCCCAATGTTGTGTTTCATATGTCTTACCTTTTCC